CTGCGCGCGCACACACACACACACACACACACACACACACACACACACACACACACACACACACACACACACGGAGGTGCGTACTCAGTTTACTGACCTTGGGAGGATGGAAGATGGGCTACCTGAGCCTGTCACGATCTAACTCAGCTCATGAGCAGAGTCTGCACTGCAGTACTGCAGTTTATCCCCTGTGCCAATTCAAAGGGAGCCCCACCATGCCGTAGGTTAAAGAGGAATTAGGTCCAGTATGGTGTCAAGCCCGAGTTGCTATCAACTTCCATTGGGTTCCCAGGAACACTCTTAAGTTCAAACTAGCTCCAAAGAGTGTTGAATTATGCTTTATGGGGGGGGCATGTTGGGGTCACCGTGCCATGATTTCAACCATGCTCAACCACCATCCTGCCGTGTTCTGAGCCGCAGATGGTTCTCCGCCAACCGCCGTGGGCTCTTGAGAACGCAGATCCCTCTTTCGGGACCAGATGCAGGGAGCGACCCGTCTTTCTATGCTTTCTCCTTTCGTCACAAGAACAAGCAGTGGGAGTGCTCTACTCTGTTTAAGAAACATAATGAAAAGCTGTCTTTCTATTTTCCCCTCCCGTTAACATTTCATTTATAAGTGGAAAGCCAAAAGAGAAAAAGGGGGAGGGGTGTTCTGAGCCGCAGATGGTTCTCCGCCAACCGCCATGGGCTCTTGAGAACGCAGATCCCTCTTTCGGGACCAGATGCTGGGAGCGACCCGTCTTTCTATGCTTTCTCCTTTCGTCACAAGAACAAGCAGTGGGTGTGCTCTACTCTCTTTAAGAAACATAATGAAAAGCTTTCTTTCTATTTTTCCCTCCCGTTAACATTTCATTTACAAGTGGAAAGCCAAAAGAGAAAGGGGGGGGGCAGGAAACTCTAATTTAACTACAATTATACATGGTGGCTGTTGTTTTTTAATGGCAGATGATTTTCAATGAATATAATATGTCTGGAAATGATTGAGAAAAATGCACAAGAATTGTTTACATACTGAAGACATTCATCTGTAATAAATAAAAGAAAGATTTCTGCATGTTGCTCGCTTATTT